AAAAAAGCTTTCCATTGACAGCTCCCTATTGTCCTCAAGATCAAGTCTACACTTCACATGTCTTACCAGATGCTTCCTGAACTAGGCCCTGTTTCTTTCTCCATTCTCACCTTTCCCCACTTCCTGTTGGGGCCTCAACACATGCTCCATGCCATTTCTTTTTTCCTTTGAAGCATTTATACAAGTTGCTCTTCCTATCTTGACAACTCTATGCTCCTCTCCTTGATGGATGTCTACCGGACCCTTGGGTGTCAGCCTAAACATCACTTCCTGTAGGCCTAAAAATATCACTCCCTATAGCTCTAAACATCACTTCCTAGAGGAAGTGGATACACACCCACATGAACACACACTCTCCAGCCTCCCTAATGAGTCACTACTTCCTGCCATGCCCGAAGGCTCCTGCAGCACAGCACTGTGTTCTCAGCCCGGTCAGAGCATTCCCTACACTGTATTTTTAGGACTTGTTTACTTTTCTGTAGCTCTCTGAGGGGCAGCGACCTGGTCTCATTCACTATTGTATACCCAGTGCCAAGTACATGGTGAGCACTGAAAAAACACTGTTGAAAATGAGTTACATCTAAAATTTCGAAGTATTTTTAGGTATATAATTTTTTAAAGTTCTATGAGTTAGGATAGGTACAAAGAGTATTTCCATTTTACAGATGGCCGAATTGAGGCTTAAGTGACTTTGTCAAGGTCAATCAGCTAGGACAATTGTAGCATGTCCTTCTAATCTTATGACATTTAACTTGGTTCATCTTTAGGCACACTGTATTTTCCACTATTTTGATATAACACATACTTACCTTTGGGCTTAGTTAGCTTAAATGGTATATTTTTCCCCAAGGTTCTCTTTTTCTTTAATCTTTTTTCAAGGGAAATTTCCAACATATACAAAAATATGGTGATGAACCCCCATGTATGTACTGCCCAGTTTCAACAATTAACTCATGACCAATCTTGTTTACTCTGTGCCCTACCCTTCCACCTTCCAAATTATTAGAAGCAAAATCTCAGACATGAAATCATTTCATGTATAAATATTTCAGTTAAATAGTGCATTAAACAAATCATTCACAGGTGTATCCAATTGGTACTATTAAAAAGACTCATAATTGGGATTCTTCCGTATCAATAGGAGAAGCAAGAATACTCATCATTTCCTTATTGTTGGGGGTGGGGAGTGTTATAAAATATCTCCTGGAATAGAATCATTAGCGCTCAGCCACTCTGAGTGAGGTGACTGGGATTAAAGCAAAGGTAAAATCAGCACAAAATTAACTCAGAAAAATGTATCTGAAAACCTCACAAGCTTGAATAGAAAGCATACTATATTGCTTACAGCTGTTAGCAATTATCAGATTCCTTTTTTCCTTCATCCAAGCTATCACACCAGCCATGTCAGATGGCCAATTGCCCCAGCCTGAGCGGGGAACCTGCTTGGGCCTCAAATAAACGCTGTCACGTGACATCCAATTGGTGCCTCTACAAAATCAACAGCGAGCTCAATTCTGAAAGGAAGCTTCCTTCCTTAAACATGAATCTTGGTCACAAAGCCATTTCCAAAGTGATGAGAACCAGGCTATGCACTAGTAAAACATGATCACACTCATCAGCCCTCGTGCCAGGTTGTGCAATAACATAATGAGTCCATAAATCTATACAGCTATCCATGGCGCCAACAACAGGGGGTGGAGAGAGTTTTGAATCCTCTTAGACACTGTAAAGATTTTCTGCAGCCAGTGAAGCAGGCTGGGAAGTTTACGTTTTCCCCAGAGGCTTCACAATGAGAAGCAGGTTAAGGTTGATGGCCAGCACATGGTTTCATTCTGCAAACAAATCATGAATCACATGCACATGCATATATATACATACATATATAAAATAACTCTGATGAAGTTAACATTACATGTCACCAAGACCAAGGCAATAAATCTGTCTGTTCCACAAAGATGCAGTGAACCGTACAACCACTACATTTTCAACTATGTAACTGTTATATTATCCCACCCACACCCCTCATTTTATAGATGTCTGTAATCTCTAAAGTGCTGTTAATACAGTTTTCATATTATTCAGTCAACCAGTATTTACTGAGCACCTACTATGTGCCACACACTGTTCCAAGCACATAGCATACATCGGTGAACAAATAATAAATATAATAGAAAATTAATATTATTTTAGAAGGGGGTAAATGCTACAAAACAGTGCAGTGCAGTGCAAGTAAGGAGGATGGGCTAAGGGAACAGGTTTTGGAATGAGTGGGCCGGGGCAGGCCTTGTTGAGAAGGTGAAGTCTGAGCCAAGCCTCCTGTGGAGAGAGGCAGGACACTGGGTGAGCAGGTGGAAGCCAAGTGTCCAGGCAGACACTCTGTGGCAAAGGTCCCCAAGTGGGAGAGTATATGGCACGTCTGAGGAAGAGCGAGGGGACTGGGATAAACCAAGTGAGAAGAAGGGCAGAGAAGAAGGAAATGTGAGTGGCCACGGGGATCAGGTCACCTCAGCTCCTGGGCCTGGTAGAGGCCTTTCCCTGTGGTTCTCTGGGGAGGGTTTGCAGGGGAGAGCAGAGGAATGGCATGGTCTGACTTAGGGTTTCAAAGGCTCGCCCTAGCTTCATGGCTGAGAACAGACTGTAGGGGGCAGGGGAGGAACAGCAGACGCTACTACAAGGCACTACAGTGATGGCAAGAGCAGGGGGCAGTGGAGGTGAGAAGCCATGGCAGATGCTAGGCCTACTTAGGAGGCAGAGCTGATGGGGTTTGCTGATGGATGAGACATGGGATGTGAGAAAAAGAGAGGAGTGAGCAACAATCCAGGGCTTTTGTCCTGAGCAACAGGACGGGAAATGGCCCTGTGTTTAACTGACATGGGGAAGACTGTGGGCGGAGTAGGCTGAGAGGGATGATGACAAGGTCAGGTTTGGACAAGATGATAAGAATTTACGATCTTCAGGTGGAGGTGTTCAAATCGGCATTTGGGCATGTGGCTCTGGAGTTCAGAGGAGAAGTGCGCTGATGTACAAACGTGGGAGACTCACATTTGATGCTGATATTGCTGCTCATAGTAACCCCAATTTATTATTAATGGTTAAAACAAATATAAATAGCAATAATAAAAGTCAAACACACAATGTCCTACACAGAGAAGAATGAGACCAAGAATCAAAAAATAAACAAAAGGGATTAACTGTGCTGAGTTAATGGTCAGGGTCATGTCAACTACTAGAATCAAATGGAGAAAAACTGCGTACATCGTTCCTTCCCGAGATGGGGCCTTGCTCTTCTGTAAATATTTACAGGAATCTGAAAGTGACCATGTGGAACAGAAATGAGCTCACGAGCTAGATGCTACTAACTACATCGTTTTCAGATCTGGAGAAACATCATGTATTGATTACTCAAAGAAACAATACTGGCTCAGGGAAGCTTCAGCAAAAGAAGTGAGACAGTCTTTAATGTCTAAACATGTGCTCTTTCCACCTTCTTCGGAGGGTTTTACATGAACATCTACTGATGGTATTAAGTGTCCAAAAGTTTCCTTTTCAGATTCTGTTTCTAATGCCTGAGCACAGGCAGTAGAGGGAAGGGAGGTGGATGGAAGTTCTACAGCTGTGGAAAATGATGCAACTTTAAAAAATTCATCTCGTCGAAAAATGAAAAACACTTAACAGCTACCAATAAACCTGCATTAGAAATCTTGCCAATGCCCTACTCCCCGAAGCCTGCTGGCACAAACGACAAAGCAAAAATTTCAGCACTAAATCAAATTAACAAATGTTCCTCAAGCACAGCACAAATGTAGTTTGTTACAATCTGGAAAATTCCATGGTATTTATCAAATCCTAAGCAAAGCTATGATGCTTAGAAGTGTACCACAGTAGACGTCATTAACAGCCACAAGTGCGATGGCTCTGGGTGTGTTGCTGTGGCAACCGCGTACTCAGCAGCAACATGCTGTCTGCCTCTTGCCAACCCAGAACCAGAGGCAGAAGAAAAAAGCGAGCTTCCTGATGGTAACAACCCAGGGAGTCACAGCGGGGCCACTGCCATCACTCACTCACGCAGGAGACTTCATTTTGGCAGTCTGAAATCATTCCCACCTAACTCCTAGGGAAAAAATGCACAACCCCTTTCCTCTACTGCAGAAGGCGGCAACATCCCCAAGCACAAAGCACGAGAGAAGTGTACAAGGACAGGAGAGAGATGAGGGGCAAGGAGGTGCTTGAAAAGTATCAAGGTCGTTTGTTTAGTTGCGTCCAGGCATGAGGGGCTGTTTTGGGAAGAAAATGGAGAAGTGCTGGTCCATCTGAAAAGTCAAACTGGGAAACATTCCCGAGTGAGGAGATCAGTGCAAAAAGCAGGAGCAAGTGGAGTAAGTCCATCAGAGAAAGACAAGTACCATATGAATTCACTTATACATGGAATCTAATGAACAAAATAAATGAACAAACAAAGCAGAAACAGACTTACAGACACAGAGAACAGACTGGGTTGCCAGAAGGGGAAAGGCATCGGCGCACTGGGTGAAAAAAGTGAAGGGATTGAGAAGTACAGATCGATAGTTACAGAATCGTCACCGGGACGTAAAGTACAGCCACAGAAAATAGTTAAAATTGTAATAATATTGTAATAACCATGTATGGTGCCAGATGAGTACTGAAATATCAGGGGACCACTCTGTAAAGTATACGATTGTCTAACCACTATGCTGTGCATCTGAAACCAATACAAAATAATATTGAATGTAAACTGTAACTGAAAAGTAAAATTTGAATTAAAAAAAGAAAGAAAGAAAGCAGCAAAATGAGCCTGGGCCTCTGGAGGAAAGCTGTTCGCACACAGGGGGACTACATGTAAAGGGGAGTGGGCCAACAGCTAGCACATGAGAACACCGAAATCCCAATGGAGGAGTAGGGAGTCTGAGACACCAAGTCCTACAATGTACTTCTGGACACTCCACATTATGTTGCAATGAAAGAGAAACTGTTGTACGTACCTTTTCCACCGGCAGAAAGTCATTTTCTACCTCAGTCGACCTTGGTCTTAGTTTTATTGCCTTGTCTTTGAAAATATCTCCAAAGCCCACTCCCTTAACTTTCTTCGGCTGGATTGCTGCAGTTGTGACTGTCCCGTTGGCACCTTCGGATTTGGTACTGCTTGAGTCACCCCCATCACTCTCAGAGCCTGTGGTTTCCCTTAAACCTGTGAAGAGGGGGGGATGGGAGAGAAATAGCTCAAAAATCAGTCGTAGCCATGAAGCACCTCACAGCCAGCCAGGAACCACCTCTAAAAGAGTTGGTGGGTGTAGGATAACTTGCACTGGGGTTTTTCATTTAAGTGTGTTATGTTGTGTTTGGGTGTCTTTGTGTTTTATTTGCTCTCTCTCCCCTCACCCTTTAATTTTATGAAGTGAATCAAAACTACAGAAAATCTCACTTCAAAGCAGGTCTCTTTGTAAATGTGACATTTTACCTGTCCTCAGCTGGAGTCTGGTTCTTATTCAAATCTGTTTTGCCAACGTCTGTGCAATAACAATGCCCTCCTCGCCTCCCTGCCCAGTCAGTACCACATACTGTACCCCCAATCTCTGTGACTCATGTCGATTAGCAATTAGCAATGGAAGTAACATTTCCTAAAGGGAAACTGTGAGGCTAAAAGCCATTTAAACAAATTAGCAATTTAAAAAAAAACACACAAAACCATGACTGCCAAAGAATTAAATCTCTTTGGATGGCTTCACAAGGAATAAATGCACACAGACATGCTTCTCTAGGAAAGCATTAAACCAAACTTGACATTGAGACTGGGAAGATGATTGTACTGTTAAACAGGGAAAGAAGCTGCCCTCCCAAAGGACAGAATCCCCCAAGCTCTTCTTCCCTCCTTTCACACCATCCTCACTCCAACTGGACTTGTGTCCAAAGAACACTGGGGATATTACAGCCTTCCTCTGACTTCTTGTGGCATGTGTTGGAAGTCACAAAATAGTAATTATCAGCAAGACAACACAGACACTTACCTCCCCAGATTCTTTTTACCCCAGGCTCTGCCCACAATCATGTTCCTAAAAGGAAAAGCCTATTTGTTTCTAGTTAATTTCTAGGTGTATGTTTTTTCTTTGATGGTGAATGTATCAGTGATGCTATCAAATGGCAGGATTCAACGGGTATTTTATGGAATACTAAACTATGCCATTAAACTTGTCTGGAAAATGTTATGGATGAGTAAGACAGCTTCTGAATATTTACTGTATTTCTCCTGATGACAACCACACCCTTGGGGGCGAAAGTACATCATCAGATTTTGTTCTCTATTAGCCAATCGTGTGTTATCTTCCTATAGGGAAGGTGGCCTCCTAGGACATAAGAATGGAACACCATGTAATTGCTCACATAAAATGTCATAAAATGGTAAAGTCATACAAATAAAGAAGTCTCAGTGCAGGAAGAAACTGTTAAATAAAAACAGACAATATATAGAAAGGCCATTATAAATTGCTAACAAGTTTCAAAATCAAATCCTTAAAACAATGGCTGTGCTTATTGTTGCCACTGTTTTCAATTAAATGGTATTCATAAGCCAAAAAGGAGGAGAGAAGAGGAATATCCCTGGTGTACATTTTAATTAACTAAAGAACAGCATTCGTGAAGAGCAGAGGGCAGAACAAGGAGGCACAGCCCACAACAAGGGGTCGGCTGCAATTTACAGGGCTGGATTTGAGCGTGCAAACATGGATAACCCCCCTGGATTAGCTATTCCTTTATTCATTTGTTCATTGTTTTTAGAAACATCCCTGCTGGAGATATAATTTTTGAGTCCAAATATTGTGTCATTTCCCCTGTAACATGTGCTCATTTTGCTGTATGGATTCTTCCTTTGTGATAAATGGCTTATATATTCTTTTCTGGCTTGGAAAGAACCATTTGAGGGGAGAATAAACAAATGTGAGTGAAACGAAACCATCAGCACCCCCCCTCCCGACCACCACCACCACCACCATTACCAGAAGGCAGCTGGGCAAATGGATTAGGGCAAGGCTGTTTCAGTTCTCAAAAAGAAAAACGTGAAGGTTCTTCTATCATTCCTCATTAGCTAGAAGTATAATATTTTCAACCATGGCCATCCAGATTTCACCAAGCTTCTGATTTCAGGGATATGCTGCCTTCCGGGCTCATCTCAGCAATTTTTTATTAACCAGTGTGAGAAATAGTCTTTGCATTACACGGGGAGGAGCTGCACAGTCGTTCAACCACACAAGCATGAACTAGGAAGGAAACACACGGCAGATTTTTCTTCCGGAAATTCCGGCAGCCTGCTTCTATCAATTTTAACTATGTAAATTAAATATCTGGGTTGGAGAAATAAGTCAAAATCTGCTTCCTTCCCTTTGGAGGGAAAGAAATGTGACTTCTCATTTTAATGTCTGTTTGGTACAGCATCTTTTAGCTACTGGTGCTCATCATAGACACTGTGCCATTAAATGTCCCCGGGTTATACTCAGAATGGTAAGTGACACTCTCAGGCAGTACAGCCCAAAGTGTTGTCTGCATATTGGGGCCAGTTTGTAAAAGGCTTGTTACTGTAACACAGTGAGCTAAATGCAGAAAGTGTGTGTGTTTGGAAACAGTTATAGCAGTGTGCACTGGTTTGACTTCCAGACGTGGCCAGTGGGACTCATCTAGGCGAACAGGGCACAGATCCATCTTGGCCTATCGAATGCCTCTGGCGAAGTCCAGGTGGAACACTGCATGTGCAGTGAAGTAATGCACAACAGAACCAGGTATCTGTGTGCCTGGGAACAGAAGTAAAAATACACTTCTCCACAGATGGTGTGAGAAGCACAGTTGTGGTGTTCACATCTGAACCCTCTCTTTCATCACTTCTGTAGACGTGTGCATGTATGCATACATGTAGGTGCTCACTAGGGTGGGTGTTTCTCCTTCAAGGTGAAAGAGAGCAATGCCTCCTTAAATTTGCTTTGACCAGACGTGTAACCGTCCACTTTTGTGTAATTTACCTTACTGTTCCAGCACTGATCAGTTCAGACCCATGGGCTGTATTTATTTGTTTTTAATTCACATGTACAGGGTGCTTACTGTGTGGCAGGAACTGCATTAACGGCTTCACAGGAATCATTCGTTAATCACATTCATCTCCTTCCTTTCAACTTTTGGCAGCTTTGTTTCACAACCCAAAGGCTACATACTTGTTCAGCCAAAAGAAGTCTGCCGTGTGGTGATTGGCAGAATGAGCAAAGCAAAACACCATTTCTGGCATGGACTTCCATGTCAAATTTTTATTTCTTGGAACCACACAATGAAGAAATGGTTTATTAGCTTCCAATGACCCACTCAGAAAAAGCAATAACCATAAGAGATAGACATGTCCATGAGAAGCCATCTCACACCACCCCCAAGGCCCAGAGGCACCACCACAAATACATATGCCATGATAAATGCTACCAATCCCCTCTCTGCACGCATGGTTCATGCACGCACGACACACACATGATAGAGGCACAAAGCAAACAAGAAAGCGCCAAGGGAAGTGGTGGGAAAGCTCTTGTTGCACGCACCAAGGAAACGGCACTTATCTTAGGCAAATAAGTCCATGTCCTTGGACCAGAAATTCACAGACACTTGGCAGAAGCATGAGCAGCTTGGGAAAGTGCAGCTGCATCAAAAAACACAAGTACCCAGATCTTATCTTTACAATTGCCTCTTGCTGTTAAGGTCACTCACTGTAATAGCGTCTGTGGCCCTCCGTCTTTCCTGGTGCAGCTCGGTAGAGAATTGTCCCTTCAAAGGTAGTCTTTCCTGACAGTGAATGAGAGAAGAGAAGGGGAGAGAAAAAAAGAAGGGGGAGGGAAGGGGAGCAAATGATGGCAAAAGAAGGAAGAGGAAGAATCTTTAACTGAACTTGCCTTCAATGAATCACTGCAAGAGGTTCATCCGCAAAATTAATTCGAGACCATTAGGCAGAATTTCAGAATGTCACAGAATGAGCCCAGAGTTCCCATGCAGCCCCGATGCACAATCATGAGCACCCAGAAAGTGGCACTTGCACCTGTACATGACTGGCATGTACATTATGCTCAATTTAAACCTGGAAGCCATTTCAACATTTCAACATTATAACTCAAGAACAGGAAAACCTCAATTAACCAGAAGGAAGCCAATGAACTCGAGCATACAGCACAATCTTCTCTTTAAAGAATATGACCCAAATACAATGCAGTTTCAGGTCCATCATATTTTATCTTCTGCCCCATGACTGTAAGATTCTAAACAAGGCATGCAATTCTCTTTAAAAGATATTTATCATCCTCAGTACCTCTAAGCAAGAAAATATACTAATACAGTACAGGCGGGGTTTCACCAGTGAGGTTGGAAACCAATAGTGGCATCCATGGCAAGATAAGGGGTTTTCTGCTTAGCACCAAGGACATCAGAAAACCCTTATATCTTGAATCATCTTAATTGAGGTTTTCCCATATCAGTCATGAAGCTATATTCAGGCATGAGGACATAGGACTCACCCAGTGTCATATTATCTCTTTTTTGTTGTTACAAATAGTGGCTATCAATAGCATAAGACTGGACACACAGCTAAAACTCAAATCTCTGTGGAAGCAGGAGTAAGTACATAGAATACACACATACGGCCCCACTCTGAGTGTACACAAACACATGCACACACACGCATACTGGTGTTCATATGCTCTACAGACAATACCACCAGCAGGTAACTTAATTTGCTAAAGGCAAACTCAATGAATAAATACATTACTCTAAATTACCCAAGACATAAGTTCTATTACGGCTTGTGAGCTAACTATTAAACTGGAAGCCAGTCATACAGCTTCACAGTAAGTCTGAGAAATAAAAAGGCAGGCTACATTTACAGAGAGGCACAGATTAAACCTGAGATGGGAAAGAGCGACTTATCTCCCATCTTAGAAACACTCATTAGGAAAATGGGAACTCCCCGATAGGAAGCAGGCTGTCAGCTTCTGGGCCACGTCATCCCTAATACGGGAAGGGATTGTGTAAGGCCAGGCCAATAACTTAAGTGGAATCATGTATCTCTAATTCCCGTGCCCTACAGGCATGGTGGTACACCCTTGTTTTGAAATCTGCCCTTTTTTGACAGATGGGTTCCTTCCAATTAAGGCAAAAACTTAGAAATTCAAATCATTGGCT